CAAGCACTGAAAAAAGACCCCTCTTCTGGCGACGGAGGTGAACAGCAAACAGCGACGCAACAGATATGAACATTGCATACCACTGCTATATCAGCTGCAGACATCTTCCGTAACTTTAGACAAGTGGCATATGGAGGCGGCGAAGAACTGCTCACCTGTGCGACCTTGCTGGTCTAATTGTCGAAAACCGTTGAGGTTGCAGTAGACTCTGGTGCTGGCATGTGCTGGCAATGCGAGCAGCATGTCAGGCTATTGAATGAGACGAGCCTGCACTGCTGGGGGAATCTAGGAATCTGGGTGTTGCGGCCTTGCTTCTTGTGCTCCTTGTCCTATCCATCAGTGGAGGAGGTGGAAGGGGGGGGGGAGGGGCAGGCACAAACTGGAGACCATCATGAGACCATCTTCATGCAGGCCCCCGAAATCATGAGTGCAGCGCTGTCTCATTGGTGATCTCGAAAAAGCCGACATAGCCTTTCTTCGGCTCGGGGGAAATGAAACAGATTCCGCTGTTCGGGCCATCTGGCGCCACAGGCTTTGAACTTCCAGCAAAGGTCGAGGGGCGTGGAAAAGGCCACATCCGTGAGGCACAAACCGCGTCGCCGCTGTTTAACCAACACCCTCAAAAGGAAAAACAAAAGAGCCTCTAAGAACAGCAATCTCTAAGAACAGCAATGCAGACGGGGTTGTACGATTGCCGTACAGCTGTTGTGGCTTCCTCATCTCAGCCAAGCCACTGCATCCACCCTCATCTTTGGCCCAGGGATTCTTGGGATTATAGTGCGGCAGCATCACCTCAGCTCATCTCGACATTTGACTTCTGGGCATCGCGTTCGCCCTGAAACAAGAAGTACTGGGCAGGCCTAATACTGGCCTAACATCGGGGGGGGCGGAGGGAGGGGGGGAGGCCCCCCCCTCGCCGTAACTTCAACTAGCTCTTGACTTCAGTGGGATGTAAAATCGGCCTTTTCGGCAGTACCTCTAACTATTGATATATCAACAAGGCAACGGCGGCTCCAGGACTCTATGCAAACCACAACGAATCAAGGCTAAGCAATAAGGGACTGGTTTTCTGCTAGGAGCGTCACCCAACTGTCCTTCCCTTCTCCGGTGATGAAGCAAGTCGGCGCTTGAGCCACACTAGCAAGTCCCCTCCATACCCGTCACTAGCAGTGCATTGATCCTGTCGGTAGTACATCTGCGCATGTCCCGAGAACTTAACGCAAAGTCGCATTGACGCAAAGAATCCTCGGCAGCGGGCAGCCCGAGCCTCATGCCAGCAACAATCCGGAAACGTGTTACGATGCATTTCGGAAGGTACGGAAGGACGTCATGCCGAGTCATTACCTGCATGTGCACCTGGTGCATCTTTGGATGGGTCATGAACAGGGCAACACGCTGCATGGCTTCTTGTGGATGAGACTCGCCAATCACACTTTGGTGAACTCGGCGGCAGTGATGTGACCTACAGCGAGCCAATTGAAAGGACAAGCCAAGAAGACGCGTGCAAGATGAAACTTGTCCTCAGGGAAGCACGGCACCGCCAACGATGCTGTTAAGCGGAACTGAAGAGCAGATGGCATCCACGGTCAGCGTGCGGTACCTGGGCCGCAGACAAAAGCCTGCCCCCTGCGATGCAGTTTGCTTGTCAGCCCTTCCACTCTTCTATGAGACCTTGCGGAAACTTTTGCAGGGTTCGAAGGCGCAAGCCAGCGTTTTCACGCACTTGCAGCACGGCTGGAAACTTTTCGGCTGGGTGCTACAGCTTGTTTTGGTCAGCACGGTTACACACCAGCACGCTGTGGTTCGACAATGCGTGGGAGCTTCTTGTGAAGCCAGGTCATGTCTGGTTTGCAGATGCTGCAACCGATTGCCTCTCCACATGCAGCTTAGAGTCATATGGCCCGGAGATGTCGTCATGTGTTGACGCTTGTTCTTGTAGTCAGTGCCACAGCGGACCTAGTCTCGATTTAGACTCAATGCTCAGGCCGGTACGAAAGCCAACCGCTCCAACGGCATTTTGGGAACTTGTGCTTGCTTTGTACATTCCAAGTAGCTTCTGATCGTGCAAAGTCTCCCAGGGCGAGATGGATGCAATAAAAACGGATTGATTGCCTCTGAAAGGCTTGGCGAGGGATCAACCTGGTAATTTCAGAGATTTCCAAGTCCTGCTTAGAAGCTTATGACCGCCTGAGAGTATGGAGGTGGAGCTCATTGCTCCGGGAGAAGCTTCTGGCTTAGGGTCGAGTCGTCGAAGGTCCCTCGCCCCACCCCGGGCACATCCTAATCTACTGCAGGACGACTCTTGTCCTGCTTCATTCCTGCCGGATTACCAAGAAACCCTACAAATCAGGTACACTCAAAGCGCAAACCAGGCCTTTATCCAATTGCTTTCTGGCCACCTCCAATCCTGCACCATCACCTTTCTTCCAGTGTGGCTCGTTGTTCGGAGGCAATCCGTCTTTCTTCCATTCCTTGCAGCTTGGCCACAGCTAGAACCGCTTCGGGACTGGTATGTAGAAACTTCTGCGAGATGTGAGGTACCAGCATTGGCTTGATGTCACATTGAGGCTGCTTGTTTGAAGCTTGAGGTCGGCAAAGCGAGCTCATCTGAAACCTCGAAACCCGTCGTCGACTCCACGTTCGTACACTCCGAACTTATCATTGCAAGACAAAGAGAGGCCAGGGACTACAAATACAATTCTTCATCTTCGGGGCGACATTGCCCCAATTGAGGGCTGCTACTTTATGCCTGAGCCCTTGAGGACTGCACGGTAAGAACTGAGTCCACACCGCCCATCTCCATGCGAGATGTCTGTGCCCATAATGCATCAAGAAGTATACCCTTGTTTGCCCTTATTCACATGTGCAGAAAAGTGGCCTTCATTGTCTTTCCAAGCCAGTCAGAGCTTCTTGTCCAGTCGGAAAATGTACGGCTGAAAGGGCCTCAAGCAGACGTGGGCGAAACAAACTGTTTGTTTTATTGAAACAAGCTGGTTATCAACGTATGTGCTCAATCAACCGCTGCCACGCTAACAGCTGCCAGCATCATGCCGCCATGATGCTCAATGGGCCCGCCGATCCATCACTGAGAGGTGACAAAACATCCTGCGCATGCAAGCTCTGGAAGTGTCGGATGGCACGTGCTAACCGAATCCAAAGGATGAGTCTGTGGGCATGTAGAGATCGGAAAAGGCTGGAAGAGGTGATGGGAAGAATGCTAAGCTGTAGCAGTAGCAGAAGTACTCACTCGTCCACCCGCCCCAAACTTTCAATCGAAACCGATGTTAAAATTCTGCCAAAGCTGAGAGTGTGGGCTCATGCGGGCCCCGTCTCTCTGTCTGTGAGAGTCGTGTCTCAGTGGTCACGTGAGTGTTGTTGCACCCTCTGCCTTGTGGGGCAGCGGCTCCGGAAGCGCTCCGGAGAGTCGCCGCTTGAAAGCCTCACGACAGAGCATCGATCAGCGTCGATCAGCATTTCTCCCCGCTCCAGCGACTTCTTCCATTCAAATGCCACTAGGCTTTGTCGGGCGGCTGAAGCAGCTTGCGCAGCTGAGAACTTGGTGTAGTCCAGGAACACCTGCCCTGCCAGTTGTTGCTGTCAGTCACAACGGCTGGACAAGGTTGAATGGAGAGCCTTGCCTGTGCAAGGCGAAATTCCGTCACACTGGCTACTGGCACCGGGCCTTTGAGCGACTTGAGACGCGCTTGCTCCCACGCGAAGTTGGAGATGCTTTCCTTGCCAACGCACGCACAACGCCTAGCCCGTGTCTCCACTTCTGAACCACTTAAGCACAATTTACCCTCACTTTTTGGGAAAGGGCAAAATGAGACATCACGGGCCTCACCAACGGCAGTCTCGTCCAAGAAGGTGTCCCTGAAGTTCGGAAAACCAGCAAAGAAACGAAGCATTCAGTGATTTCAGCGTACACACATCATCAGATCATCAAAGCCGTTTTGTGTTGTCAAGGTGCCGGTAGAAGGCATCCGATCCGCAACAGCTCCCCCGGTCGCCTTCCACAACATTTTGAGTGAAGTGCCGGGCACCACTTAGGGAGGTGACTGGCCTGACTGGCCCTGCAATGACAACCGGTTACAGGCTGAGTCACAGGTGAGAAGCTCTGCAAGCATAAAGTCATACAAAGTCTCATGGAGTCATGGAGCAAGTCACAGCTCAAACGGGGGACAATCGGGGCGGATGAGTGAGAAGAAGGAATGAATTGATAAACTAGAGTCACTAGAGATGAAATGTAGATGGTTTTTTGGCAGGCCTGGAGCTGAACAGTCCAGGTCGACCTTCACAACACCTCACAGATCACAGGCTCGGTGAGGGCACCAACATGGCGGAACAATTCCGCTCCTGGCCCTCATTTTCTCAACTTGCATCTGAGAAACACAGGCATGGCTTCGAACCTTGTCAGTGTCAGGTTTTTATCGAGTTGATAGCTTTGACATGCATGACACACGAGATCGGCGATGAGGGCATGAAACGGGGGCGAGGTCGAAAGCTGCGACGACATGCGACCATCTGCACAGCAAAAAGAGCCGCATGGGTCCCGGACCCATGTCGCCGCTCAACGTATCGAGGCATGAGGCCGAGACCAGTTTACAGCATGCGGCCTGATTGACTAATTATAATTTATAGTGGACAGATACCATCGATGTTACTACACAGTTATCATCGGAACGCGCAAGGGGTAGTTGATTTGCCCATGACACTCAAACAAGCCATTAACGTGGAGCCGCACAGGCAATGCCACTACTCTGAAATGGAGAAATGGAGTTGCCTTGTGAAGGCACATCTTAGCACCACTGCTTGAGCCTTCCATATGAAGCATCCCGGGACCCGCACATCAACAGAAGCACGATGGATTGCTGCACTTCACGTGCCACCACGCAGAAGATGCCAGTGGAAAGCAAGACTTACTTGAGAGCCCGGAGTTGTCGGGTCCGACAGGTCTCAGTCAGGACGAATGATGGCCGCTGATGCTCTGAGGCTGCAGCCATGTGAACATACGATGCTCCCGTCTTCGGTAGGCCCAGAATGAACACAGCCTTCTAACATGTCGAAAGAATGTTTGCTAGCTTGGTTGGCCAGCAATGAACAGCTGATATCCCACGGTTTGCCATTGTCAACTGGCTAGCGAAATCCAGCAGACCCCACCCAAGTCCATGACCTCCACGGCATCGAGGTGGAGGCCTCTCACGGACTCCTGTGCTGCAGCTGCTTGGAACTTTAAGCCCCACCGTGCACATTCGGAACAGACAGTGTATTGACCCCTGATTCCAAAACAGCTGAGAAACGCGAAGCAAAGAAGAGTTGAGTGTAGAATGGCGCAGGGCACGTGCAGAGCACAGCTGGCACGCAGCACGCATGGCATCTGGCTCATGGGACACATGCAGCTACGGGTTACCGCAGATCACCGTCGGCCTCGGCGCTTACAAAGATCGGCGCCTTTCGGCCACGGTGCAACTAACCAGCACAGTGACATGTCACAGTGCTCTATCATCGGGACTTTGGGTGATGCCCGTAAACATGGTATGATGTGGTGTGTCAAACTTTCTCATGCAAGGCAGAACAGTGTGCTTGTCATTCTCAACCATGCAGAGGCATTTACAGACATGACGCTGCTCCGCGGATTCGCACGAGATCACATCACAGCTGACATCCCAAGACATCCGATGATCGGATCTTCATCTAACTTGGCGAGAATGTTGGGCAAGGGAATGAAACTCAAGATCCTGAAGGGCCTCACGATAGAAGTCACCTTCTTCGATGTATCCTCGCCTGCACATGGCAGGGATGAAAACCCATAAGGCCATAGGCATGCAACTTCTACTCCTCTGCCAGGCCAAAACCTTAAAACTACAAGTCTTGCACATTCTTGCACTTTCTTTAAGAGATGCGCACTTGCATTTTTTGGGGAGCCTGGGATCGCTCTCTGCACATCCGCCAGAGGGGTGCACAGGGGTGCACATACCGGAACCCTGTTACAACGCCAGATATGCCGGTGGCAAGGATACAACCTCAAAGGCCTATGGCGCAACGACACCAGAATTTCTAGCTCGGAATGATGTGTTGCACCAGTCTCCCTTGCCTGTGATTGCGTGTGGCACTTCAATACTTGAACTTCGGGAAACCTACGGAGATCGCGGACCGTTTCACATCTATGGACCATACTCAATGCAGCGATGCCTCGTAACGTCCCGCACGTCCAAGAGCCTATTGGCACTTCGCCAGCCCTTGGCCTGACCAGTCTCTTGCAGAGTTGAAAAGCAACCTGACTCCAAGCAACACCGCGCTATCCGCATGACTATGGTGTTCAGCCAACACGAGCTGCTTGGCATTTAGGGTCATTTCCTGTGCAAGTGTGCAAGACACTGCGCAAGACCGTACAAACTAGAAGAGCGATGTGCCTCGCCCCGCTGCGTCGAGGACTTGCCTGACACGGTTCGCGAGTCGGGGAACAGCCTAAGCTGGCGTGACACAACTCCTGAACTGACATGAAACGATATGAACCTCTACATGGGCATGCTTAATCGTGCCGCGCCACAATCGAGTGAGCGCATCTGCACCCGACCAGCCGGCTGTCTGAAGATCCTCGCGAACAAGTGCTCAGAAAGAAAAGATGCATCTGTCCAGTCACTTACCAATGAGGTTAAGTAGTTCCTGCCACGTGCTGCTTGCTGCAGATGTGATCAAGCAGCAGCATGGCAGCATGGCTCCTGCACCACGCTTTTCACTGTCTCCCCGGCATTGGGACAAACGAACACCAGGGCCGCCTGAACGTGACAAGCTCAGCGGGCTTCAAGCCACCCAAAAAAAGCCGAAGCAAGAAGTGGTTCACAGCACCACAACGAACTGAGTTTGGCCTGCGGCCGCAACAGATCCAAAGCGGCACTCAGCGCAGCTGCGTGGCTGCCACTGAGCGGGACCTGCACAAGGCATCGTGAAACAGAGGCCGGAGTGCTTCTGCGCCGACACTTGCGCTGAGGCAGACTTGCAGGAAACAGGAAACACAAAGTCATGTGCACACTTCGGCTTTGGATCTGTCTTGCTTTTGCCGCTGGCACGGGCTTCACGGCCCGTGGCATGGGCTTTATGTTGCCCCCGCTTTAGTATCGTTACCCGCTATTATGCGCTTTCCAGCTGGCCGGGGAGCCCAAAACTAACAATCTTAGTTTTGGGCTCCGCGGCCCCCTGGAAAACGCGTAAGTAACAATAGTTTTGAAAAATGTTTCCAATAAGAAACTCCCGAATTTTCTGAATCCGGCTGCATATAAATTCCAGTTAAAATTTCATTACGGCCCCCAAATGATTTCCAAGGGAGCAAGCAGCCCACGAGCGCCCTCATTCGCTCTAGTAAATTGTTTCGGTTACCCGCATTAATCCGCAGCCCGGGAGCCAAAACAGGCTGAGAAGCTTCGACCCTGAAGCTTCAAGGCTTCCCCTTAACCCTCGACGCCCTACCGCAGCCCGCGTTCCCGTTTATAGAGGGTGAGCAAAAACCCCTAAATTGTTTTAGGGGGACCGTCGGACCCCTAGATACTAAAGCGAGTAATTACAACATTTCCTCGCAATCAGTCCTCTTATTCCCATAAAACCCTTGCGGCATATGCATCAGAGACCGATCATCCTCCTCGACCTCCGTTGCCTCCGCCCCGTGAGATTCTGAGAACACTCATGCGAAGGCGAAGACAGTCTAAGCCTAAGTAATCTTGTGGAAGCTCTCCCTTGAATGAATTCTTGAGCAAATAGCGCAGAGCCACCATTCACTAGTCGGACTAACGGTGAGAAGGACATTCGGCCCGGATGGATTCAGACACAATGGCCTGCCTTTCACAAGGGCACTTTTGGGGTAACTTCGTGAGCTTCAGGAAGGATGGCGGATGCGACGCAGGAGGCCGGCGTCGGCGCCGAGAAACTTCACAGCCCGCTTGCGATGCCAGAGGCCAAAGAAGCGTTCGGATGAGGAACAGATGACGACAATGACTACAAATAGCTCGGGGCCGCGAGGCTGAGCCAAGAACATTAGCTGACGATGGCAAGTTCGCTCTACAGTTTTCTGGCATACATCGCTTTTCTCGGAGGGGTTCTTGACACTGTTGGATAGAGGTAAATCAGGGATTTCCGGAATCAAAATTGTGGAGCAAATACATGTTTTCCTGTTTTGATACTGCGGGCATGGAGGTTTCCTTTCTACATCAAAAAACCGAAGAGGAGCAGGGGGAGAGGGTGTGAAGGTTGAGAGTTGCCGTTGGTTGCCATGCTGGTCGCTAAGCCCCGCATGGGGCTGACCATGTGAGGAAGTGGATTGCTGCCCAGCCCTGGTTCTCAACTTGAACTCTTCAGCATGCACTCGACCAGACCCTAGAAACAAGGGGGGTTCCATCCAATTCGCACCACTTGGCTGCCCCTGCCTTCCAAGTGAAATGCTGGATGCCAGCCTTGGTCACAAAAGGTGAATCACTAATCACTGCCAATCACTCCTATGCAATGCAATGTGAAACTAACTCCAGGGAACAAATGGTATAATACACTGAGTGCACACAGTATGACTCCAAGTTGCTGGAAGCGCCCGATACGTTTGCTTCTCGTGGGCCTCCTCTTCCAGCCTTGGAAGCCTAACCGCCAGCGCTATAAGCACGTTTGCAAAAGCCATGATGAACCAAGGGACGCTCGGCGCTCCTCAGACTCTTCGTCCTGGCCAGGACAACGTTTACACAGACCACCAGCATATGAGCTGTGTTCTCTACAGTAATCCGCCGAGGCCTCGGGCCGGGTGTCAAACCAAAAAAATCTTTGCTTGGCACGGTTCTGCTCGGAAACGGGTAGCCCCCCTAGCCGATAGGCATCCGGGAGCGGATGGCAATGACGGCATCAGGAGCAAGCGTCTCCTGCGTCCAGAAACCGGCGTGCGTCTCGCCCACATCTCTTCATCAATTGTAGCCGCATAGTAGCCCGCCAACAGATACTTGCCCAACATGCGCGCGGTTCTCGTAGTCGTGGATGCGATGGACTAGAGACATGGAATGTCCTCGATGCTTTTTTGCCAGTGCGATGCCTCACAAGTTGCTCTTGTTCTTGCAAGGATCACCTGAGTCTCCGCCGCGTTGGCCTCCGGGGTTCGATGGTCTGGCCCGGACCATCCACGGTCACGCAAAACACGCCGGAGTGCTTGCTGGGCTCGTACATAGGCTTCACGTTTCCGAGTCCAGTACGCGTCCACGGTCTCCTGAGATCGTCTCTCGGAAGTACTTGCTCAACTACTCTGAATCAGACTCCGAAAGCTATGCAAATTGTGGTCGACCCAAGTGATTGCGCAAGAAGCGCATCAGATCTGTGACACCATCGGCGTGGGCAGCCCAAGATGCAGGTTGTCCAAGTATCAGCCGGCCAGCTTGTGGGCACACAGGTGCCTCTTGTGGTCCCTTGGCGCGTTGTGTTCTGGCTCCCGAAAAGCTCTGGCAAGTACTCTTCTCTCCAAGTCAGGCTGGCCATGGCTGGGCGAGAACACCTGAAAGCGCGTTCCATTGCCCAAATGTGCTTTAAACACTTGCACCGCCTACCCCTTCTTCCCTGCCTCTCGCCTCTGCAGGGGCGGCAGGGCCCGGCACCTTACCTATAATTCTTAGCTGAGGAACATTACCCTTCCCGGAACTCTTCCGCGAGTACTGGTTCTAGTCTTCCAGAAGGGTTGCCTTCCAGAAGGGTTGCTTCCGCGTGCGTTTCCCTGGTTGATTCATAACGTTTTGGGAACTTGCATGCACGAGTATGTGGGTTTGCAACATACAACCATGCAAAACCGGCACATGCCTGAGAGCATCTGAGAGCTATTCTCGTAGTTTTTCCGTATGTGTACCCAACAGTTCACTCTGCCACTCTGCCTGCTCTCAAGAAAACGCCGCTGATGTTCCACATGCTGCATGCTCCGCTGAAGGACAGACGGTCCTCGACAACACTTCGTGCCCTTGCTGCAGCCTGCCCACGCATCACATGCACACGGGCACGAAAGGTGGGGTGGGTCAGTTCACTCGCCACATCTCGCTGCACTCTGGTCAAGCCTCGAGGCTGGCAGCAGAGCTGCGCTGTGGATCCTCTCAAAGACTTCATCAAACCGGCAAAGTGTCGAGGACCGCTTTGTACAAACTTGTCCACCCTTGAACCAAGCGGCCAGTCTCGGTAAGGGTATCGGAAAGCGATTGAGCTTGTCCCGCTTTAGCACCTTCTCTAGCCTGCAAGCACACTTCTCCAAAACAACAATGACCATGAAATGACATCACTAGTTTCTCACCTCAACCGGCTTGAGCGATAGGCAGTGGCGGAGGCCGCTACCACTTGGAGCGTCTCTCGCTCATTATTCCTGCAAGCAGTGCGAGCGCTGTGATGCCGTGGGCATTCGTGCCACAAGCGGATTGCAACGGAATAGGTTCTGCAAAGCACTCCAAAACCAGGTCAAATCTGCAAATGCACATGCAAGTGACAAATAAGTTAGGCACAAGGTGGCAGCTCGGGTACATGCCTCATCAGGCGCTTGGCAAGCCCTTCTGCTGGCCACATCCCAGGATCTTGGTACCTGTTGCAGTTGAATCCACTGAGTTTCTAGCTGTTGCAGTTGAATCCACTGAGTTTCTAGCACTTCACCCTACATATCCAAGGCACCGCATCAACAATCGGACGCACAACAATAAAACACTAAGGCGCAATGCTTCAAGACAAAGCAGAACCAAAGCAAATCAATACTGGCAATACAAGTAAGCATTCGGCCCATCAATACCCTAGGCAAATACAGCAATAGCAGCATGGCCATCACACTGAGCCGACAACCGGCTACCACGAACGAAAATGAACCATGGCAAACGTCGTCAAGCCGCTACAACAAAAGAGGTCAACTCATCAAGAGAAGCCGGGTGTTCCTGGACCGGCTACCCTCTCGCAAGCGCTTACATGCAGCCTGCGCATAGTACGTAGATGTGCGCAGAGAGAGAGAGAGAGAGCACGAAAGAGAGGAACAAATGAGACAGCAAGCAAGCGAGCAAGCAAGCGAGCAAGCATCGATGTCTGCACCAATGCCTGGCCAGCTTCCTTCCTGTGTACTTGCGCTTTGGCAAGAGCCTTGGAATCGAAAGGGCTTGACGGCAATGGATTCGGACGCAGAGTACAAGCTGAGCAACTCATCCAATTCATCCATGACGAAAACCTTCACCGCGCAGCCGAGTCATGTTTCACCCCAGCACCAAACCGGCAGCGCAACAAGTTGAAACTACGGAGCAGTTTAGGCACACGAGGTCATGTCCGACATGCGACTAATGCTACCCGCTGCCCCATGATAGAACTCAGCCGCAAGAACTGAGGAACCTCTCTCACGCCCCGTGTCCCCAAAAATATACCACTAGTCTGCACCTGTATCTCTGCCCGAGCCTCTACACGGCCAAGTAGATCTTTGACCTCCTGAAACGACAAGAAACTTGCGCATCCAGATCGACTGCTTTCGGAGTTCGCAGAGGGCTCAGCGCGGGCAGCGAGAGGCGGCCGTTCTTCGAGGCGGAGTTCGGATCCCGGAGGCGACTTTCTTCTCCCAAAGGTGAGAGGCCGCTTACGACAATGTTCAATCAAGTTCAATCCCAGTGTCGCTCTGATGCTGTGCAGGTTGTGCTTGTGGTTGTTTCTGCTCTCTTGTCTTGTGCTACTGTACCATTGTTGCATGCTTCGGGGTGGGAAGACCCTCCGGGAAGCCCAAACGAGAAACCTGAAACAGAGTATTGGGTGGTACATGGTACGCCCAGAGGCATAACAGGAGTCCTCGATTAATGCGATGTGACCGCCAGCTTTCTCAACTCCAAAAAGCATTCATGTGTCGGGATACGCCGGAATCCATAAGCTTCACTATGACTTGGGCACTATGACTTTATGACTTGGGCACACACTTAGGCCATCTGCGCAAGCTCTGCGAATCCTACTCTCACGCCCGCCGGGATGCCGTGAGGTCACGAAAAATGTAAAGCGCATGTGGGCTGACCACTGCTTTAGAACAAACAGGCGCCCGAACGGACCCTAAATTTCGAAAATCCTGCACAGAGATAAGGAGCCCCCGAACAGTGTGTGTGGATGTGGGAAGCAAAGGGAAGCTGGGATGGGCGAGGCAATCCAACAGTTGACCGTGAAAGGAGTGATGGCTCCGGAGAAGAGCGCCCCCAGCAATTGATGCTAATTCAAGGCGCGCCACACGAAGTATTCTTGCGTCCAGAAAACTTGGCTTTACAGGGGACCCATCTCTAAACAGTCGTTGAGGCCTACAGCAAACACTCGAGCAAAGAAAGCTCAACATCATTGATAGCAGCTGCTGTCGCAATCGTAGTAGAACGCCCTTGACTGGAAAACAGGATAGCACACCATTGTTGCCTATTGTTGCTATCTGCTTGCTGCTGGACAGTAAGACACTCCTTTCGTTTTTCTGTCCATCTTGTATGATACGAACATGCCGAATCACAAGTTTACTGGGAGCAGCCGAGGCGCTTTTGTCCAGTGCTTTTCTTTGCATGTCTTCGATGCTTTCTTATTATTTTCGCCGATGCTTTCAACTGTTTTCGGCAAAACATTCAGATGTTGAAGATGCTGAAGTCCTCGGCATCTTCATTATCGAAGATGTTCAACAGATCCTCAGTGACTCAAGCTCAAGCCGAGGGTTCATGCATCATGCAACCCGTACTCAGGACCAACAAACCTCTGTGGAGACACGCTGAGACCGTTTGGTTCTGACAGGTGCTTCCAGCATCACTCCTAGAGCACAAGCTTTCACAGGACCTTCAGTACCAACGCGCCTAGAGCCTCGGCGCCACGGCTTGCGGCCTGACTTGCTTAAACCCTTTCGGCTTTCGGCCGAAGATCAGCTGGCGTCGCAACGATGACAGAGGCATCCATCAGGTTCCACCAGGAAGCTCGCGCGGAAAGAGTTGCCAGTGCCAAGATGCCTGACAGAGCATGACCGAATGACCACTCGGAGATGCCACCAAGTTGTACCAAGAACAGGCACAGGTGGCACAGCGTGCAAAGATTCGACGCGGCCTTGGCAATGCTCCTCAGCCTCGGCGAGAGTCTGGACTGCCAGCTCCCTCACAGAGGGTCGAGAGTCTGGGGCAAACTGAGGCAAATTGAGGCATTGCAATTTGCCCGAACCACAGCCTCGTCGGCGTGACGATCATCACAGAGCTGGGCCCTCGCGACGTCACGTCAGCAACGAAGACAATGTTTTGGCTGGCGCTAAGCGACCCTTCAGGAGGCTGCTGTGAGAAGCTTTGGAGTTTCTGCAGCTTTGATTCAGTCAGCTTCACCATCATCAGCTCGAGCCTGTGCTTGATCCATCGTCGTCCTGCAAGACACAGGAGCAAAACGCATCGCAGTTATCCAAGGCCCAACTCGCTGAAACCACCTCGTCGGCGTCGCGCGCCCTCTGCAGCGCTGGCAACAAGTACGCCAGAGTCTTTCCGGAACCTTCAGGGCTAACCATGGGCATTCTTGGGCAGAGGAGTTCCCCTCTACTGCCTCAATTTACCTCCAGCGGCTCTCCTTCGTGATTTTTGCATCCAGCACCCAGTCATGCAACACCTGCCCAGCAATCCCTAACAGCCGTTACCCAAAGCCACCGAAGTTCCGCCTGTCTCCGAGATCAGAACCTTAGATTCGCCAGCAGCAGACAAAGAGACCGTGCACTAACAACGAAAAGGAAAGGGGGTAGTAATAACGAAAGACTTCGAGGCACTAATAGCGTGAGGCTTTGCGGTATTAGCAACGTATCCCTGCACGTATTTTCAAAGGGGTCGGGAGCCTGAAAAAAATGCCCCGGCCTGAAGGGAATGAAAGGAAGCTTGAGCCCAAGGGAAGGACCCCTTTGAAGAGGAGAGGAAGGAGGACCGCAAAGAAAAATAGATCCCACTCGCTAGAATCCATCAGTGCTCTTTTTGTTACACAGCCAGTTTTATGTGCCCCGACCCTATGCAAGGCACAAAGAGCGGCTTCCCTTTTGTTGTTGTTGCTTTACAATGCCTTATAAGCCTCTGACAGGGGATCCCCAGACCCGAAAAGAAAGTGTGGGAATCCGCATTTTCGACCTTGCCAGAAAGATGTTAAACAAGCCCCAAACCAAACCCCAAAAAACCCTAAACCCTGAGTCCCAAAACCCTCAACCCTAAACCCCAAACCCCAAACCCCAAACCCCAAAACCCCTACCTTTCAAGGCCCAGAAGGCCCAAAATGCGGATTCCCGCGTGCCCCTCCCCCTCCCAAGCCCGCATAATGCTTATACGCCTCTGACAGAAGGAGATCCCCAAACCCGAAAGCAAGTGTGGGAATCCGCATTTTCGAAAGGCCCAAAATGCGGATTCCCGCGTACCCCTCCCCCTCCCAAGTCATTAAAATGCCTTATAAGCCTCTGACACGGGATCCCCAAACCCGAAAGAAAGTGTGGGAATTCGCATTTTCGACCTTTCAAGGCCCAAAAGGCCCAAGATGCGGATTCCCGCGTGCCCCTCCCCCTCCCAAGCCCGGGTGGGGGGGGGGGGGTGTTTGGGGTTTAGGGTCTAGGTGGGACTAAGGGTTTCGGGTGAGGGGTTTTGGGGTTTGGGGTTTGGGGTTTGGGGTTTAGGGTTGAGGGTTTTGGGACTCAGGGTTTAGGGTTTTTTGGGGTTTGGTTTGGGGCTTGTTTAACATCTTTCTGGCAAGGTCGAAAATGCGGATTCCCACCCTTTCTTTTCGGGTCTGGGGATCCCCTGTCAGAGGCTTATAAGGCATTGTAAAGCAACAACAACAAAAGGGAAGCCGCTCTTTGGGCCTTGCATAGGGTCGGGGCACATAAAACTGGCTGTGTAACAAAAAGAGCACTGATGGATTCTAGCGAGTGGGATCTATTTTTCTTTGCGGTCCTCCTTCCTCTCCTCTTCAAAGGGGTCCTTCCCTTGGGCTCAAGCTTCCTTTCATTCCCTTCAGGCCGGGGCCTTTTTTTCAGGTTCCCGACCCTTTGAAAACACGTGCAGGGATACGTTGCCACCGACCGATTCACCGACCGATTCGGCATTAGTAGCCAACAAGTTCGTCATTAGCACCAACAAATTCGGTATTATTACCGCATGATGCGTGATTATGACCAAGGCTTAGCAGAAAAAGCATCAGCCAGGATATGCCGGATATGCACGCCAGCAGCAAGAATTGTCCTACAACAGAAACCCAGACAATCATGCGCAGCAGCGAGCATCAATGGACTGCTTGCAATACATTGCATTGCAGCAGCTCCATTTCTTGCCTGTCCCTAGGAACTGAAGTGGTTCAAGTGCTATGCGGTGGACATAAATGTTTCGTTCTACAAGGCTGCCCAGCTGTGTCTTGTGCCAGAGCTAAACCCTTATTCGGAGACACCAAGCAATTGCAAAATTGCAGCATAGTGCAGCTGAATGGCTGCATGCTTCCCTGAGCTGATATGTGGCAGGGCCAGCGCCTGTATGGGGCCTCAGGCAAAAGAACATAAGGAACGAACAAGATAGGCACGTTGCTGAAAACAGCTCACCCTTTGCAGCTGAAGCGGCTGGGTGTGTGAATTTGATGCTCCAGGAGCGCTCGCCGCGACTCCATGGGAAGGGCTGGAAGGAGTTCCTTGAAACGAGGCATGACAACCAAGCATACACGTTGACCGATCAACGATCAAAACCTAGGGGGTGTCCTCGATGGAAACCTTGTCGACATCCACTGCAACTTGATCCTTTTCGACTTTGCGAGTGCGTTTTAATCCGTGCTTGCAAACGGTCGTTCTGGACAGTGACAGGACTTGCTTCCGTTAGGCAAACTTTCACTCGATTGCCACCAACAAGTACTGGTAGGTAGTGCATTCTGACTACTGCAGCCCGCCTTCGTCGGCGCTTGTCGGGGAGCCAGAAAAACTTCTGACGAGCCCCACGCTAGCAGTGCCACCTGCATTATGTGCGTTTCGGCACCAAGACCGAATTCAACAAAGCTGGCACATGCTGGCGCAGAGATTGGCGCAGAGATGTGCACAGCAATACAACATCTGTGCCAGAAGGCGATGTGCTTGGACTCTTCGGAATCCGCGAAACTGTGCGGTGGCAGCTGGACAATCCGGCAATCCTTTTCGGCGCCCGGTGTTGTCAAGACTTTGCGTTTGCATTTGTGCCATGCTCTTCGCCGCCTTATTGTGCGGGCGCTGTCCTGTGCTTGCCAGCTTGCAAGTGGCCGGGGGGCGGCATGGTCGGCCTTGTGCCTCTTCACACGCTACCGTCACGCTCGGCCAGCTCTTCAAGTCAAGCCGCCATTGCAAAGAAGGTTCTGAGACACTTCTTTCTCGGCGCTTTCAATTTCAGCCCGTTCGTACTTTTCACACACTCATGTTCACGGGGCACATTGATGCAGTCGATGAGGCCGAAACTGCATTGTCGGAAATGTTTCGAAAGTGACTCACGAGGGCTCACGAAGATTCTTTAAAAACCTCAACCTTGGCCACACGCACCATCAGTGTCCCCAAACGCTTTCCCTCTTGCAATCACAGAATACCTCCAGAAGCAATACACGACAACACTCTCACAGGGCAATGGAGCTGAGCACTCCCGCCAAGCCCGCAGATGAAAGGCGTCTCCTGCACTGAGCCACGTGCAGATTAGAACGAGGAGCCACTCTACTTATGACTTAACTCTGGCTTAATTCGCCTCGGCTTCCAGCTGAGAGGCGTCTAGAACAAGCAGACAGGATCTTCTTCCCCTTCCCAACCCTTTCCTACACTGATTTCAGGCGGCCCCCCTCCCTCCCTGTGGGCCCCCCCGGATCGCTTGGAGGACAGTTCTCGCAAGTCTGGCAAGTTCGTCAGCGATGCCACACCAACACGGCGCGATCTCTTGCGGTGCATTGCGCACGGTGCAACGAGCAGAACGGGATGGTGGACAATGGGGCATGAGCCGGATCTGCGTCAAAAGGAGACTGTGCTGAAGTCGGACTCGCCGACGTCGGCTAAATCAATCGTGAGTCGTGAGATTTTGATGAGAAACGCTACAATCGCTCCACTGCCACCAGATGCCATCACCTGTCATGACATGTTGCCCCTGTCCTGCAAGAGCCCAAGCACATGTCTAGGCTTCGAAGACCACACACCGGTCTCGTCTCAGCTACCTCTGCAAAACAACCAGGGGTTGCTGTTTGGACAAACCCTCAGCTTGCACACAAATGCTGACAACAGGCGTGTTTGCGAAGCCTGGGGGAAGTCATGCGGGCAGTGACTACTTCGCGCAACTAAGGATCATGGCGAAACCATGCCGGCAATGCTGAGTGGGCGCATGTCTTACCTCTTCACCTGATGCATCTCATGCTGCTTTGAAGCCTGCAACTCTAAGACTCCACGACCAGAGACCACACAGAGAATGCCATTGAAAGCTCAGTGACTTCAAGACATCTATCGCCTATCGCTGTCGGTCCAACATGCGCTGGGAGCAGTGATTCCACTACACTTCTGGGATGCATGGGCTGACACACATGCTGCATGCTAGCCAGTCATCACCTGCGCGCCTGCGCAAACGCATGAACCACACAGAAGCGAAACTACCCTATGTTGGCATTGGAACCTGCAGTGAGCTGCCGTTGCACCTTACAGTGCCTGTACATTGGACCATGTCCATTTCCTCAACCCGCCCTTCACTAAGTCACCACTTCCAACCTGTGCTAGCGTGGGCCCGAAGTGCCGCGAGGGGTTGCACCCACAACTGCGACCCTCACCAGGCCTAACCCCCACCCGATCCTGGGATCGCCCACCTGTGCACCCAATCCTCATCCCTTGGTCTAATCAGTTTTGGACACCAGACTTCCATCGCAGTTTCGTTGCAGACTTCGACTCCCCTTGCATCTCGCGGTACCACAAGACTCAGAAGCGTGCACAGACTGCACAGGCGTACCTTTTTGTTTTTGGCACATGTCAAGTCGCTTCCAAAGCACTCAGAGGATTCGTTGCAAGGCCTTGCCAAGGACACCAATCCATGCTATGACCAGAATGTCCGATAATCACGTGGTTCATACATACGCAAGCTGCGCGTTGTGATTTCCAATGAGTGAAGTCAACCTAACAAGGATGAGAAATCGATAGAAATCGCCGAGGGTACAAGACCAGCCTGCATAAGAACGTAACATCACAAGAGCAACGTGAGCAACCAGCATCCATCAGTCAACATCCCCTTGGCCAGGCCGACCTGTGACGTCTGGAGGAATTCGCTACGCTAGGCTGCGAAGTATGAATCAACGTGCCGTCACGACGTCACAAATGCACCTCTTGCCATCACTGCACAAACCTTCAGATTCAAACCTCTAGGGCCCAATGGGATGGCGAGAACAAGGCGTCCTTCCCGATAAGCCCTGCTGTGGGGCTGGGTTTGCGTGAGGTGCCTCATCGAGGAAGGTGCGATGTCGGACCACGTTCTGACGGACGAGGCTACGAATAGTAAACGGTCAGCGGAGGAGCGGGTGGAGATTACATAACGGGACGAACGCGGACGCGGGGATGGTTGGTGTCGGGGAGCGGGTCTGCGGAAAGTGTGGACAAAGATGGGCAAGGGAGTGGTCAGAAGCAGGAGGCTACGCGTAGGAAGACTAGACGCGGCCGACATGAGCAGAAGTTAAGAAGACTTGTCGTGTGAGCCTTCCACGATTGCATCCTCGTTCTTGGTTTCCGGTTCCCGTCTTGACCTTGTTTCTGTCAGCGGGACCGAAACCATGTCAACCTGAGCAGCCATCTGCGCAATGCCTTGATTGTGATCGGCCCCGGTTCCTGAAGCTGCAGTGGTAATTTCACGCAACTAATTCGTGTAAGTTGAGACCGCGAGGCCAACGAAAGCCTGCATGCGTGTAGACTGTAACTGTCACTGCAAGAGCTCCGCGATTCCGAAAGACCTCCACTGGGACGGTCCCCCCCCAACCCGCCGCTTTTTTTAAGCTTCATGCTCTACGAACATTCTTCGGAACACTATTAAAATCTGGAGGGAACTGAGGTTTTCCTAGGGAAAGAGAAGGAAATTGACCCAAAATTAGAATAAATATCATGTCGATTAGAAGCACAATAGGATAGACTTCTTGTTAAAACTGATACGAGCAAGTGAGCGTGCGTGCAACCGAGGGTGCCTACGTGTTCGCATGCAACTTGCGCACATGCATGTGCAGAAGCATGCATGCAAGTGCGGCGCATTCAATGCCCGTGGACTCGGGAAGCATGTCTGCAAGCATTCCCCTGCGCATGCAGCCATGCACGCATGCAAACTGTCGAGTGCAAGCCAGCAAGCATGCCTGGAAGCATCACGCAAGCGGCATGCGAAGACATATCTCGGCGTACATCAATCCGAGCTCCTCTCGCTCCCCTTCTGCATGTTTCACAAGTGAAAACCCTTCTCCCGCCCAATTCCAATGCCTTGCTTGCACTAACTTTCTGAGATTTCTTGTCCGCTCATTAATTTGTATGCAACAACTCCTTCAAACAAACGTGGCAGCTCTACCCCACAGCGCTTTCCTCAAGGCCTGACTTGCAAAGTCAACCAACAGATCACTGCCTACGAAGGCTTGTGAGTGCTTCATAGTGCTTCTTCATGTAACATTGCCAAGCTCATCATAGCCTATCATTGCTCACCCGCCAGGCGAAGCGGCCCTGACACGCCCTAGCATCCTCCCTGCCCGGGGCTCTTGCTCGACTGAAGGCCTCACCGCAGACATCATCGCGCAGGCCGAGCCAGAGAGTCCAGGAGTACAACGTCTCCTCACATGCACCATCGTAAAACCAGATGAAAGAAGCCGAGCAAGTTTGCTCAGGGTGCTCAAGCATGTCTCGGAGCCCCGAGTCTAACAGCCAAATGCCCGTACGTCTTCAACTGTGAGCGCTGCAGCGACAGTGCCGGATCTTATGCAACTGATGTGGCAAAGAACCAAGCCTGGTCTGCAAACATCTCCACGATATTCCTGTCAAGAAGTTCTAACCGACAACAAGCAAGTGAAGGCCACCTTGCTGCTTACGAAAGCAGAGTTTCTGACCATGTGCACAAAGTACTTACGATGTATTCAAGTAACAGGAGTCTTGAAAGACCTGTTACCTGCCATGTTCGTGTACATAATATGGACCACGCTCTGACAATGCAAAACCTAGCCCTGAGTCGAGCTGCTAATGCTGCTTAACTCATACCTCCGGCCAAGAGGGGGGAGAATATGGAGATCGGGCGGAGAGAGTGGGGGACGAGCAGGCGGGAAAGCCTGGGGTGCAGGGTGTCATATGGGGGTCATTCGGCAGCCTGCGGAGCTGCGAGTTTCCTTAAAACGAGACCAGCCGTCCTGCCTGACGAAGCGCGTTGGGCTGCGAGTTGTATCCTGAGGCTCAATAACCTGGGCAATCAAGGAGCAACCGTCTCGCGAACTTGCTTAGATGCTTTGCGTTGCACGCTTGCAATACGGTATTCACTACGACATTGTGAACCCTGCTCAAAGCTCTGATCGGAATGTTACTTGGGCACTTGTTTCAGTCTCTTTCGAGAACGCCGCGGTACCTCACACAGCCTCTCCCATACTCTCCCATTTTGCTACAGATGGAAGACTCAGAAGCGAAGGAGAGCTGCAGCTGTCGAATGAAGGGCAGCTGGAGTGGCGGGGCAAGCCTTCTCAAGGTAAAGGGCAAGTCCTCAAAAGTGTTAAAACAAGTGTAAGCTGAGAACTGGAGAGGCACCATCGAAGACCGGAATGCTGCGCAAGTTGATGAACAGCCTGGGGACACTCCAGTAGGAATCGCCCCTTGAAAGGTTAAAGCCATGGCAAGCAGCATGTCCTCGGCTCATGAACTGCCGCAAGCAAGAAGTCAACGTCAGTCACCTATGTGCTGTGCTATGCGCATCCTGCCTGTCGCCATCGTCTTCTAGCAGCTGACTGATGTGCCAGTCTCTCCGTCCTGCCAGAGCACCGCATGGGCTGGTTGATATTCCGATGGAGATGCGATTCCTTCTACGTACTTGGGTGAAAATGGAGGTTCTCTGACCCTGAGGCCAGAGCGGAAGCGCATTGACAAGTCCAGTGCGATCTCGATCAGTGACCTGCAATGAACGCGCGCTACACATCTGTTGGCTCAATACTTCTGACTTAGGATGGGTGTCATAGCGATTGATAGCACTTTCGACATCTGTGCAACTTTCTGGACAGAGAGTATGACGTGCGGCGTCAAACATCAACATGAAATGTGACCTCAGTCCATGCAACATCACCCCGCAGTTCCCTACTTCGACCGAGGTCAGACAAAAATGATACAAGTTCTGCCTGCCACGTACCCAGACGTTCAGGTGCCGAGTGGAGGCAAGGTTGGCAACTGCCTGCAAGTGATAAGACTGAGAAATTAGGACCCACAAAAGAGATCTCACCATGCAGGCATGCATGTCCTACATTGTCTCCCGGCACTCTGTTTCTACTTGTGCGGCCTGACCCTGACCCGGCCCATCGCGCATGGGCACAATCAGGCTGAGCTTCACCTGGCGTCTCTGACCGGCTCAAACCATGGCGAAACGGCAACCATGGAGAGTTCAGCGTATCATTTCACATCATGTCACAGTCCTGCACAGATGTTGACTCTCAGTTCCAATGTTTGACTCGCCAATTCAGTGCTTACGATTTTCAGTGGGCCGGCCATCGGCCTGAGCAAGATTTGCAGCAGAGCTCAGCGCGGCCGCCAGAGCCGCCTCACGCACTCACAGAGACAGACGAACTCTCACTCACGGAGGCATAGGCACACATCACTTAATCGAATCAACATGAGAAATCGAAACACAATTCTCCCTTTGAAGCGAAGAGCCAATCTTGAGAATTTGGGGCCGCGGCCACCATCAGATGGTCTGTGGGCACGCCGGTCACTCCGGCAGCAGCCTGACTGCGCACAATAGCCCAGCTGCTGAAACAACTTCTGGATGCACTCTCCCACGCCTCCAAGACCCGGCCGGCATTTGGCTGCAACTTCACATAGTGATCGTAGCCTCGTAGAGCGTGAGCCACATGAGTGGACATCATGAATGAAACGGTGCAGATTGGTAGTTTCGAGAGACTGTCTGGAGCTTGGAGGATCTTGGAGGATCTTCGAAAATCTTGGGTCCGTGCCCCGCTTTCTTGGTGGACAGCCATTGTGGGCAAGGTCAATACGGTCGTCCAAACCTCCAACGTGCCAACGAGTTGTGCAAAGATCGAGTGATCACGTGCATGGCATGACACCGTGCCGCTCTCACATACTGCCTTTGCAGAGCTCCGGCAGCAGTGCTAAACTCAAGCGGGCCTGACAGAAGAAGTCATCCCGGATGACCCCAGCATGTGGCTATATGTGGCTCATATTGGCTCACCCGAAGCCCCTCAAGATAAGGGTCTGCACATGTCCCCGCTCACCTGTGCAATCTGCAAGCCGTCGGGCGCCGGGGGCAGCGTCGAGCGAGCCAAGGCCGCTCGAGCCGAGGCCTCCGGAGTGCTTTCGTGGTTTCGAGGAATCTGAGATGCTCACAGCGAGCACTTTGCGCAATTCTAAGCTGAGAGAGATGGCCGACCTTGTCGTTTGCTTTGATGCTTCTTTTGCAGACCGTTTCTATTCTGAAATTCTAGATTTCTACTTCATGCTCGCACGGTCAGCACTTTTTGCAAGCTTGAACCTCCAGATCACCGTTGCTGCACTCCCGCGCCGCATGGTGCAGCGCTAGCCTTTGCAGGATCTTGGTGAGAAGGGCGGTGATACCAGTGACACCGGTGACACTCTTAGGATCACCTGGTGAGTTGTAGTGGCTCGCGGTGCTAAACCTGCTGGCCTCACAGCCTTCAATCACCACATACTCAGGCCAACACAAGTCTGCAACAAGCGGGACGATGCATGCCGCATCTGTCCTCAGTGCGAGGACTGGGGCTTAAGGCTTGAAGAGCTTCGCCATGACAACCAGTTCCAACGGCTGCATTGATGGTAGCCCGAGCCAGCGGCACCGCATGATTTACTGCCTTGGCCAGATGAAAAACGGGGCACTGCAGACGCCAAGCAACGCCTTGAGGGCATAAAGCATGTTTATGAAGACTTTATCCACCGTTCGATTGAGCCTTCTCGATCGATTTTGAGGCCCCAGCCACATGCAAATATGCCAAGTCCTCACCACCACAATGCGAACCCTTGAGCGAACGGTTGGCTGTGGAAGTCAGAGGTAGGTTGTCACCGCAGTGTCACGGCACCACGTCCTTGCCAGTGCTTGACGCGGCGTTCAGCAGGAGAACCTGTGGCTGCTTCCCGTCCACTGAGATTTGTCATTGAGCAAGCACTAGGTTGCTCAAGAACTCTTGTCAGGTCGGGGTCTCAAGCTTGCAAAGTGGATGGACCATGACCGTTTCATATGAGAAGATTTAAGGGTCATCATTACAAAGGCTTCTGCATGTGAGCTGGCTCTTCTCGACCTTCCAGGCTCAATCGAATCGACCCCAATGTAGCCACAACAGTGCACTTGATCGTTACCACATCACAAGCTAGGACCTGCCGCAAGTCAACTTTCGACCTATGTCTGTATGCTCGCACGGCTCGCAATTTCAACGGCCATGCGGCGCCGGATGCGAGTCGAAGGATGATGAACCATACATACAGGACAAAGACAAAAAACTCGGCCAGCCACTGAAATTGATGCCGGCGGCTGGAATCCTCTGGACCGCGCCTGTACCGAATGCCCGGCCACACAGGCTTGATTCTGGGCTGGCGCAACGGCAAATGCCACTCTAAGCAGGCACAATGGGGTGACTAGTTGTTCTGGCAATTAATTCGTCCTATCTTCGACTGTAACTTCTTGCTGCAAGTTGCAGCGCAGCATTCCGCCCGTTCCAACAAGCAGCGCAACATATCGAAACCCTGAGAGCCCGCGACTGCGCAGGCGACGCCCCCCCACCCCGCCCCGCTTTGTTTGCAACTTGAGCATTGGGAAGTGCATTGCCGCCATTCCACCACTTTGATCCACGTCGTCTTCCCGTCATCCCGGCCCATTGTGCATGATAAGACTTGCACAATGGACATGCCTGAGGCCCTCAACAGCAACCGAATACGACGCAACATGGGCTTGGGCCTTCCCGACATTTCCGACATGTGTGATCTATTTATCCACAAGCCGGCCTTCATCCATGCTGCATGGCGCCTCCAGGCTACCGTTCTCTACTAAGCTGGCATCGACTATGGCACTGAAAGATGCGCTAAGAGTCTGGCAGGTCTGCTTCGTTTTCGAAGCAAAGCCACTCGAAGTGCGCAGTCTGCCCAGGAAACTTCCGACAAAGAAACTGCTCGAACGCTCGACTCCAAACTTTCCCTGGATAGAAATTTGGAAGTGGCATGAAGCAGCTAGAAGCAGCTGGAAGCAGCTGGAAGCAGCTAGAATGACAAGGCTGACTTCCAAACTGGTTGGTCGAGCCTCTTCAATCCTTGGTCGGGCACATCGTCGGATTCGTTTGCCAAATGTTGGACCTAACCACTTATATACTGTACGGTCTGAAAGCATCACTCTCTCGCGCCCTGGAGCCCGAACCCACCAGCATCACAAAGCGGAGGGCCACCAGAAGCTGGCGAAGTAGCGACGCGAGGCCTTGGCTTCAAATGAAGTGGCGCTGAACTATGCCGAACTTTTAATGTCCACTCTGATGTTCTCTTCGCTCGGTTCGTGACCATGCCTCCCACAGGCCTCTGCCCGCCCCGGCGCTGAGCGCAGGTCCACGGCCCATCTGAGTCGTGCAAGTGCACATGACATTTTTGACTCAATGCCAGAGCGGTTACAGATCAAGTTGATCACAGACATTGCAAGCCCCAGACCTCGGGCACACCAAGAAGGGCACGCAGCACCACCAGCACGGAGGCAGCACCGAGGCCTCGGAGCTCGAGCACAGTGAGCCCAGTGCCATGAAATCTGAACAGCTGGCAGTGCGCAACTTTTCTCAATGGCTTCGCCAGGTTCATGCGCGGACTGCTGCAGTGTTGAGCAAGTACACGTGGAAAGAGCACGTGCGTTCGAACAGGGTATCCAGTCAGGTATGATTGAGAGACCGGCACATGTTTGCTGTGACTTCATCACCAGCAAGTCGGTAGGGAGCAGCCTGCAGCAAAGCTGAAAGAGTTTTTTCAGATGATTGTTCCAGAGTCACCAAAGCATGGGCCCCTATTTGTCCATGAAGCCAACTGTGGCTGAGCAAGCCGCGCGCAAGCTGACGTGGCGTTGCACCAAGGCGCGGCATGCAACGCCTCGTGAGGTTGTTCAGACGATGGCATGCAAAGACTGCTTATCGTCAGTGAGGGAATCTAAGCCAGTCGCGCATCGCCTTTTCATCCGGGATGTCATCAAGCTGGATCAACCAACCCACAGGCGCCTATGAGCAGAAGCCATCTCGACCACAAAACAGACACGCACAACGCAAAGAAGGGGACGAGATCTCGGCCTTCCAGAAACGTGGTATGGCATATATTGGGTAGGAACCTGCCGAGTTGCAACTTACCCGCTGTGATCTGCCGCAAGGTGCCGTGAAACGAAACCGACCTAATCTGACACTTGACACCAGGATGACAATTCTACCTGCGAACATTACCTGGAGCACAGTGCATCGCGGCTACTGCCAACTATGAATAGACGATGTGGGCAGACCTTTCCCAAATCCCAACACCTCCAGCATCTGCTTCACCGATCGCATCGGGCCTTCACAATGTACCCAAGGCTTTCAGGAATCAAAAGCTGTGTGCATCGGTACATCCAATCATGTTTCGCATGCTGGGCCAAAATCGCAATCACATCGAGGAAGTGTTTTGTGGCGTGTGAAACTTTCTGCAGTGTGCATCGCGGGCACCCTGCCAGATTTGTGTCGGGGACTGCCGCTCAGTCCAAGTATGATACCAGCATGATGGTGATGATCGATACCGAGAGCGCTTCCCCTAGCGCTAGTCCCACTCTTTGATAAGGAAAATTTATTTCCATCAGAGCAAGAGTGCGTATGATCCGACACACAGCTGGACGCCAGCGCCACTCCAAAGAAGATCTTCAGAAGATCATTTTTCGATGCTGACAGGCCGTGAGACATGGGAACTTCCTGCTGCTAAGCATTTGGACGAATGTCGCCAAAACTGGAGCACTTGGGACGGCACTTTCCATCGGATGACCGAGCCTGCTAACAGGGCATCCCAATCTCATTCATTCGAGGGTCGGCTACAAATGTGCTTTCCCCCCACACTGCATCAGTGGTAATTAGAACTTTTTCCAGTCAACATACAGCTACGGGTGGATCAGAAGAACATCGCCACAGGACCACGCCTCCACCAGGGCCTCCAAATCCTGGAGTGTCTCACACTGCAGCACCTCGCCTGCGCCCGGAGCAGAAGCGATCGGGATGCCTACAACCAGTCGAATAAACAATGCAACCAGTCGATGCTTTCCAGACTGGGAACGGTCCTGCCGCGAGGTTCACGCCGAGCCTTGATCTGTACGGTGCTGTACTGAGGGCAACCGTGTCTTGTGCAAGAAGAGCTAAGAATCCAAGAAAGCATCGCAAAGAATGAGAAGTCTAACGAGTCTAACATAGTCAGTCTTTCTGCGATCCAGGCAGATGCCAGTGACCAGCACTGACTTTGCCCAAACGGCCCAAACGTATGGAAAGAACATGGCGCCGAGGTCGCGGCTCCCTTCTCAGCGCACTGACCTTGGAATGCTGAAACGAAAGCCGGGGTGACAGCTGAGCTAAGTTGTTCTCACCTTCATGATCTTGACGATCCCACATCACAATGGATCTTCCACAATGTAAGTCACGTTCGCGCAACACCATTGCGGATTGTCACGGGAGCCTGCTTTAATTTCTGAGGCTGAACGAGTTACGTGAACATGCCCATTTAAGTTGGACCAACATCCGTATCCCTCATCTTACATTATCTCGACAGGCTGCACAGAATTCCGCCAAGCTATAACACTTCTTTAGCGAAATCTCCTGGCGGGGTGTCTATGTCGTGCACGTTTTCCACTTCCAGTCTGAAGTGCGAACCAGAATGATGACCTTCAAGGATTCCAGGCCTGTCAAGGCTGATGCAATAAATGGTAGGCTCCATCTAGTCACAGGTTGTGATCGATTGCTAAACATGTGCGCTGCTCGTGAGGCTGAACTGCAAAGCCGGGACAAGATGCTGCAAGCTAGTCAGGCCGAAGCAGTTCTTCTCAGACTGCTCAATTCAACTAAGAGTTACACTGAGTCGTACAGGCACGCACTCCACATCGGCCGCGTGCACCATCCCAGAGCCGGTCGCATCAAGCTTATCCCCAAACGGACAGCCTGAAAGTCGGCTGCCTTGGAGGCCTGTCGAGCGTTCCAGCACCTGCTAATACATGCTCATGGCGCCATGATGCCTGTTTGCACTGAAAGAACCCTTGCCGAGTTGAAACCCCTCAAGACACTTGCGCTCGAACTGGGTCGCGCCTGTGCCACCTTGCTCCTGCTGTTGCCTTCAGCAGCCTCAGCAGTGGTAGCAGATTTGCACCCGGACTGCACCCGACCTCACCCTGACGCATCCGGGAAAGAGACCCAAAAAAAAATTGACCCAGTGACTTCTGGGTAGCAAAAGCCTTGCCCGCGATCGATCATGCAAAGACGCAAAACCAACACCGATTCTTTGTGCAAGCCTGCCACTAAGGCAAAGTAACAGAAGGCTTCAGCTGCAGCATCGCTTGGCAACGCGCAACCTCTGCACAACTGAAGATAAACCCCTGTGTTGCGACTAAAACTTGGCGAAGTCTATCGACCATGGTGTCGGCAAGCTCGTTTGATCCTGCCAACCTGAACCGAACTTGGCAAAGGGCACAGCACATCAAGGCAGAGAGAAGTCAGTAGAGATCCTCGTCTTGACAAACGAGTGCACTTTGCGTGCCATGGCCTGCTTTGTCAGGCTGGACGTTCTGCAACTTTGTTGCATCGACGTTTAGCGACATCCCTTTGGGATGGTCCATTCGGATGCTGTCTGACCCTGCCTGCTGTACTGAGCGGCCTGGAAGATGTCCAGAGTCTAGAAAACAACAAAGATCATATTACTAGAACAGGATCCTCAGAGTGGCTGACCAGAGGCGTCTGCATTTCAGTCCGCCGTGAGGGCAGCCTCTAGTTCGTCTTGCTCTCTTTAGTTCTCAATAAAGGCAATCATCTCGTCGATGGAAAGCTCTCCAGAGTCATCCTCCAGGGCACGACCGGAACATGACGACGGTGTGTCAAGTTATGTCTTTCCTTCGAAGCAGACTACGACCTGAGATCAACATCTTCAAAGAAGTCTGTACGTTGCAGGTTCCACCGACAGCTCCATCCAAGTGCGTCCTCGTCTAATCGCTCGAAAAGAAGCTGCAAATGGGTCTTCCGGTCCTAAGCTGATGGTACACGACATGTACCTGCCACATGCCGTGACCACTACTTCCTTCAACCTCGACCTTCAACGCACCAAAAGCGATCCAGGAGTACATCTACACACCACGCCATTCGGAAGATCTGAGGACAGATCGTCGAGGAAAAGCTTGTGGCGGCACATGTTAAAGAACCTCAAGCTGCTGCACTGCTGCATCCACATACAGCTACGTGATGTATTTAAAACTGAAGTGCGATAGGTCTTGAGCTACCGATTAACGGCAGAACAGTTCTGCTAACGCATGTTATGTTTCCCGTTTCCAGTGGCCGAGGATCCTTCTGAAGAACCTTGAAACACCTTTCGACTTTGGTCAAGAGTTCTTTGCTTTGGTGTGGCACGAAAACCTCAGCTTCCAGATCTGGATCTGGAAAAAAGCTGAGTTCAGGGTGTTGAATGGTGTTGAGAGGTTTTGGGCCTTTGGTGGCCTTCCTTTTGGTTCCTTTAGTGCTCGGGTGGCAGGAGCTGTGCCTCTGCAGCTCGAGTGGTTTCGAGATTTTCGGAACCCTCGGGAGTGTGCACTTTTTGGCTGGGATGTTCTTGCTTGAGGCTTGGCCTCGGACAAGCTCAACCTTAGCAGTGAATGGCTGTGGGGGTTGGTGCTGTAATGGTGTCCTCTCCAGCTTCGTGCGAAAACCAAAACAAGCCACACACACCTGCAATAATGCTGCAGGGTGCTCATCAATGTCCATGTAGCCTGACTGATCCTGCCAAGTGGGCGCCGCAATACACGGTGACAACACGCACCGGCCCTTTTGTGGACTCACTGCACTCAGACTGTGAGCGTACAGCTTGGCTTCACCACAGAACTTGCTTGGCTCCTGATCGCACTCGCGGAAGAATTCGCGCCAACCTTGAGCTTGCAGGGCTGCCACCGAGCGAGAACCATCGCAAGAACCATCGCAACAGGATGCAACAGGAGGGCACACGAAGGTCCAGCTAGGGCAAGATGCCATTGGTACCCTGCGTGGCTGCCGCCTGCTTTATGCGAAGCTTCACGCGCCGGATGGTTTCCTGCTCGAAGCACTTTACCCCCTTTCACCGGTTTGCTAAAATTGCACATCTCTCGCAGTGTCAGTTGCACCTGTAATGAACCTCCAGTACACTCATGACAGTATACACATCGCTCATGGTTCTTTGGCGGCTCCAAAGCCATGCCGTGCCTCGTCTGTATCCATGCGTCCTCAGATAGGCTCAATGTCCAACAGGATTGCGCTGTGCCTAGTAAAGAACAGACTGATCACCTACGACGCATACCTGTACCGTGGAAAGGCTTGTGGAGGAACACGCGCCACTGCCGTCCAAAGTCCAACTGCAGCTGCAAACATCTCGGCTGATTCGACTTCGGTTTTGCCAAACCTTAGCGTTTTTTGTGTGAACCTGTACGTAGTACTTGATGCCCGGCACACCTCTACACTTCCATACAGATTTATTCTCAGACTCACGGAATGCTTCTTCAACTCTTGCTTTTGTCATGCGACCGGAAGTATCCAGAGTTCGGGGTCCAAGGCCTAAAACAGCCAAGCCACATCTGTCCGACTCGCCCGATCGCATCCATGAATCCTGCAAACTCCTCACACTTGTCACGGAGCGCGGGCAGGAGCGGTCTCTCGGAATGTGAACCGCGGGGTCCCAGAATGGAAGCGTGCACAAGAACGTTAGAGTCAGGGTCTGTTTAGCGGACTCGTTTTGGCGGCAGGGCAGCTGAAGCTCATGAGAACTTGCTGTTTACCCCCAATTTTTGACAAGTTGCCATGCGCTGATTCTCAAGACCCGGCGTCTGGTAGAAGATCTCAGGGTGAAAAGATGTCAGAGACCAAGCTCACTCTGAGTTTCCTTCATTGTGGCCAAGCCTTGAAAGCATCTCCAGCTGAGAAAACCCCCTGCTTGTAGAGGTTTGTAGTCTCAGATGGGCATTCAAGCGGAAATTGTCCGATTGCTTGCATGCTTTCTGCCATTCCTCACCCGCCCGCTCGCCAGACTGCAGTCAAACCATTTATGCTGTGCTTTGCATCAAGTCTGAAACATTCGGAAGTTGCAAAAGATGGCCACCTGTGTGCCACCCGTCTGCCACAGTGCATCCAAAGCAGCATGGCACAAGTTGGTGAACTCATGCCTCAATTGAGCTGAAGCATGCTCCAGCCAGGTTCCAGCCATGAAAGAAATCACAGTGGGACTTTGGGATTGCGATTAGCCTTTGGGGGGGGGGGAGGGGAATGCACCAACCTCAAAAGGCACCGATGTAATCACAGGAAAGCTGCGCACTCATCCATTCCGGCTCTCGCTTGCAGAACCTGACGTTCCGAGCCCTTTCTAGCATCATCGAACATGCTTTCTATTGCCTCAATGTTTCACAAAGAGCGGCAGTCTCTTGCAGCACTTGCTGGCCAAGAACCCATCGAAAAGCAGAGCAAGCCTGCACGTCAGCGGTTTGCACCAAAACTCGCACAAGCTAATTTCAATATTGACAGGAATCCCAGAGAGTGGCGGCTTGGCGACGCGGACATCTGATGCCGCAACCTTGCACCTTAACAGTGCGGAGTCCGGAGGCCTGCGCTTGACTGAGCTGTGCGTGTCCACCATCCTCAGAGCTTGCACATGCTTGCAACCAGAAACTTCATCTTTGTCTGGGCCATCTCTGACGCTTCTCTGCCAAATATTGCTGCACATAGTTCCCAAAACTGCCGGGCCAGGAGTCTTGTGCGACAGGCGGATCACTCGGGCACGACAGCGCGCTAATGGAATGCCCTTGCAGACAGTCGCTGCGGTTTGTCGCGCTCAACACACATGTCTCCAGTCAACAGCAAGAGCAACCAAGCCTTCATATCTGCGATCCAATGCAGCAACGACGTGAACCTAGGCACGCTGCATCCCATGCTGCACTCTGCATCCCAGGTTTCGCAGCTGTCTTTCTGGATTGTTTCACGATGTGAAACGATGTTCCACGTTGCCTCGGTCATGTCCTGCAATGCTGAGGTTTGCCCATGCTTTTTGGATTCTGGAGTGTTTGCGCGAGGGCACTCTGCTGACATGGAAAGCCGGCAAAGTTTTGTCAGAAGCTTGGTCCTCTGAACCCTCGAGACCATTTTGCGCGTCTCTGTTTGGAAGCATTTGTCTACACAGGCTGTGTTGTTCTTCGTGAAGCTGTGCATCAAGGTGCCACATCGTGCCACATCGTGCCAGCTGCTTCGAGTGGTTCAACATCAACACCATGAAACGGCCAATACAAATGTCCAAATGCAAAAACGATTCTGGCCGAGGGAATCCGACTTAATAACTAGAGATACATTCTTCGGACACGATCAAGCACATGCCTCTGGAAAGCTCGAATGCTGCAAGGCCACTCCTCATATCCAATACCATCTTCCTCAGAATGGGAATGAATCATTGAAAGCTTGCTGGAGCAACAGTATCTGGGTATCTGAAACTCATCAGCACTCCAGTAGCTGAGCAACAATATCCTCCACGCTCATGTTTTCTCCAATGATCTTGTTGCAGCCTGCATGGACAAGCGAGGTGCCATCTACTCTGTCACAACCTGTGACAGTGACACAGCTGCACAATTGCCTACGGCCCAGGTTCGGAAGAAAGACTTCACCTTGGTCGCCGTCAGCTTCCTTGGCTTTTGGACGTGGTTGGACCCCTGCGCCGCTCCGAAGCCGTGCCCTTCGGGGGCGCATCTAACTCCCCAAATTGCGCGCGATGTGAGAAACACCTGCTAGACAGCTGCGAGGCGAATCCAGCAATTTGCAGCGATCGAGGACGATCAGGATCTCATTGTCGTCCAACCTCTGGAGTGCAACAAGCCCAAGCTCTCCAGGCTCTCGAGACTCTCGAATTCCAGTTGCGCGGATTGTCGAAAACTGATTCTGTCCTCCTTGTCGAAAGGACCAAAAGCAGAGCCAGCAATATATCTAACAGATAATATGTACACAAATATATATATATATATATACAATCTATGCACATGTTTCAACTCCTGCCTACGTTCTACCCTTATGACGATCAGCTATCCCTCATTGAGACGCAGCAACGCAGAAGCCAATGTGCACATAAAGCCAAGCGAACG